ACGGATTATTTGAGACAAGGGACATAAACACCTTATGGATTTACTTGACGTTTTGTCTTCTCAGAAAAAAACAATGTTCCCTTTTTCTCAAAACATTATCCAACACGACAAACGTAAGGAATTACTGCATTCCTTGATCTATGGGGGGCATATATAGAGAATCTCACCCTCGTGTCTTTTGATATCAAATATATCAACACGAGTTGAGGCTTGCCAAGGAGATTTTCCATTTTTATCTACGAGTGTTGATGTATTTGATATCAAAAGATGCTAGGGTGAGATTTTATTTATCATCAACAGCAGAGCCATTAGTGATGTCATTTGATTGTGACGTCATGGTAACCAATGGTCTGCAAAGCATTGTGATGCAATTTCATTGCAGCGATATCTACAATGTAGATATCGCTTGATCTCACCCAAGCGATATCTCCTGTTGGAGCCAGTTTATGGATGATAAATAGAGTTACGTCTCTATATTGAGGTTAAGGACAAATTTGTCACAAATGAAAGCAAATGCCCAATCTGAAGTTCACAGAGAAATCAATACAGTGAAATGCTGGAAATGTTGGCGTCACCAGTGATCCATTCCCCGACTATGCTCTCTTCTTGCTGAGTTTTGAAATCTCAGAATTGACTCCAAACATTTGATTTTTCAACTTCGTACATCACTATCCCACACGACAAACTAACGGGGAAACTTTATTCCTTGATCCATGGGGCATTTGTCACTAAACATTGTGACCACAGATATAGTTACATCTCTATCTTCCGAGGGTCTGGACAATGTGTCATAAGTTAAAGCAAATGATATCTAAAGGTCACTGAGACAACATGAACTGATTGACTTCATGACTGATAACTTCTGTGTGACAATTGTGGGTAAGACATTCAGGCACGAAGTCGGCATTCCCATGGTCACCATTTGTACTCCGTCTTGTTGATAATTTTTTCTATGTATAAGATTTCAGCTCGGATTGATAAAATACAAATGAAGTTTTGTGTCGTGCCGGGGGTCACACAAGATATGAGTTGTAAGCAGTAAGCGGGATACGGTCACACATGACCGTTGTATCCCAATTGCGTATCGTTGCTCATGACATCAATCACTGGATTGTCTCGTACAGACTCAATTATTTACAGACCGCCGTCATATGGCTGGAATATATGTGAGTGCGGGGTGAAACGACAAAGCATACTTGAGAAACTGAATACTTCACTCGTGTGTGTCAACATGTGACAACTCTTGTTTTTAAACTTTAACTCGTTAGATACTTTTTGAAACCAATCGTTGTGAGATACAACGTATATGACAGAAACCCGCTTAGTAATCTCTGTTTACCCGCTTAAACATAAACGAAAATGAATCAATACATGTAATAACAAATATAAGATATCTGTAAGTGCCAGGTTAGTGATCGATTCTCCGGGCCAAAGTACTTTAACGTGCTCTTTCAATGTAAAGGTAAAAAATCATCGTTTTAAATTACTATCATATTGAATGACATATTGAACTAACGATGTCGGCAAAGGTACCACTCTGACCTTGATTTGTGTTCTGGGAGACTCACGAACTTAATTCATCACGAGATGCGTGCGTGATAAGCTTAAATCTCGCACATATGTTGTTTTCGGTAAATGTAATAGAAAACGGGGTGTGATTAAAAGCTATGTTGGAATGGGGATTTGCGTGCATTGTGCAGTTAGATCTGCGTGGCAGAGGTCTTCAGCAACCCATGGCGACTATACTTGTCGTAAGAGGCGACTAACGGGATCGGATGGTCAGGCTCGCTGACTTGGTTGATGCATGTCATCGTATCCCAATTGTGTGGATCGATGCGCATGATGTCAATAACTGGATTGTCTGGTCCAGACTCGAATATTTACAGACCACCGTCATAAAGCCGGAATATTGCTTAGTGCGGCGTTAAAGAACAAACAAACAAACATCATCTAATAGACATGTTTTGGAACCGACACAACTGTCTAACAACACACCCATTGTCTGACGGGCGGAGAAGTCCATACCATATCTCCATCAATAGCAATATTCGGAGCATATTTACCGAAGCCAAAGAAGGGTGGCACGAGGGTGGACCGCATTAAGAGCAGATACGAAATGGCCTGAAGTAGTTCCGTCATTCATTGGTTTAACTGACATGTTGGAAGGTTCAACAATCCCACAGGCGCGCTTGCTATGGCATCAATGCCGCTGCTGGAGCCCCACCAAAACGCCTCGGGCGATGTTGGTGACTACATTTATGCTGCAAACACATTGATCAATCCAGTTGAGTGTCTCGCGTGTATCTTTATTATTGAGACGCCCATACATTTCAATGGGTAACTAATTTCTGATAGAATTCTTAGGTATCCATCAACCGATTTTTCCTGATCCCGAATAAGTAGAACTATGGTATTTTCTGATTAATTATTTGAAACAGTGCCGATATCAAATCGATATTAAACATGACGAAAATAATCTTTTGTGTTTACCAAAAATGGT